TCATAATATTTTAAGTAAATTTACAATTTTGTGTTGGACCAGGTTTGTAGCCATCCTGGGCTGCATGCGGCCTGTGGGCCATGGGTTGGACACCTCTGCCTAAACTCTAGATTCTGTGACCATGGATGAGGATTCACTGTGCTGTGTTCTTTGCTGTATCCTCCACACAAGTATGAAGATTGACAGAAGACAGGATATTCTTTGCCTGTCTCTCCAGACTCACATTCTATAGTTCTCCACCCTGTTCTGTGCTCTGGGAACTGACCTCTGTGGACTCCTTGCCCACTGACTTCTGGCTGGGATCAGCTATGGGAAGAGATGAGAGGGCAGGAGAATTCAGGTCAGGCTATTTATTCTCTCCGTTTCCTCCCTGACAGACTTCAGTTTGGTAGTGGTTACTGATCTCTTGTCCAGTTAGACAGACGTTCCTTGTCCCAAAGGGACAGCTGTCATGAGGCTGCTTTAACTGTTCCTGCCCTTGCTCCTTCAGACCCAGGAGCAATGACAGTTTCCTGCACTTGCTAGAAACTGGGTCTTCGCCTTCCTGTCTTGGTTCTCTTCACTTTGCCCATACCTTTGCAAACAGTTCTTTTTCCATTAAGTCTTCACAATAAATCAGCGTCTCACCCTTCCTTGCTGAGACTCTGATTCCTAGAGTGCACAAAAAATAAAATAAAATAAAAACACAACGGTACCTCAGTACTCATTCATTCATTCCAGATCTCCTGAAGAGTGCCCAAACCAATGAGGATCAAGCAAGCAACGAGTGATAAGCCACTTTCTCTTGTGGGGTGACATTGTGACTCATACAAGTTCTAGCAAGTGCAACGAGTCCGGAGCCAGCGCTAAGTGCCGAAACAATTTTTTCTCATCAAAATGTGACCAGCACAGTGTGACGAGTTCTGAAGCCAACAAGTACCAACGTATGACTGTGTTTGTTGATTTGGCTCTCACCATAACCCATACATTAAGTGAGTTTTAAATCCCTCAAATTTCTTCAATGTTTTCATTCAACATAATTCAAGTCTCTAATATTTTTCTTGCGTTTCAAATGACTACAAATACTATTCCTGTTAACTTCATTCTTTCCTTTCTTCATTCATTTATTTATTCAGCAAAGACTTTTTGAGAACTTACTAAGTGCCAGGAACTGTGCTTCCCTGGGAAATCAAAGAGAAGGAAAATATATTTGGTTTCTCCAGGTACTCACATTCAAGTGAGAGATATAACCAAATAACAAATTCCAATTCAAAATGACAAACTGAGTGATAGAAGGGTGCACAAACCCTTGCAGGCACAGACCTCTTATGGCCCGTTGCTGGCTGGGGTCAGGAGACTTTACAACAGGACAGCGTTCTGTGGCATGTGATTCTGAGGTCTTTTACTCTTCCCTTTGCTGCCTCACTCTCTCCCACACTCACAGCTCCCATGAATGAACACTGACAATATGCTGGACTCCAGGCCAAGCACTGCTCATACTGATCTCATTTAATACAGCAACACTATGAAGCAAATACCACCATCTGCATTCTTCAGAGAAGAAAACCGAGACTAAAGGTGGCTAAGCCACCTGCTGGTGGGTGGCAAAGAGCCTCTTTTAATCATCACGTTCCCCTGCTTTATAAATCTGAAACACACACAAGGTTGGGTTATGAGGAAGGATCACTTCTCTGAAGGCTGAAAGCTCTCTGCCACAAATTTCCACCTCAGAGCTGCAATGTTTCAGGAAGACATGGAGGTTAGCTCTTTACTGAATCTCCTCACCGTTGAATAGGAAATGTAATGTGATAGGCCAGGAAGCTATCATCACCTTTGTTCATTACACTAATTGCTCTGGAGATAAAATATGTCTTGTTTCCCCTTTATCCTGCTCATATTCATAGCACTACTGCTTTGGAATATTATCTTCTGTGAATCAGGAAAGGCTTTTTTACCCCCATTTCTTAGAGGATAAGACTGAAGCCCATAACAGGTGACTATCTCAGCCGAATCCCACATCCAGTGGGAGGTTGCCCAGTGTCCCATGGCTGCTCTCATTCATCAGGGTGCTCCAATTGCTATCCTTCACTCCGGCCAGGCGCGCCTACTCGCTGTCTCCTACACAAACATTTCTCACTCCAGCTGTTGACAAGAGAGACCTGGTTCTTCTTACTGACACATGTAAAGAATTACATACCAGCAAATCATCCTTCAGAAGAAAACGAAAGTCCAGAGCTCAGCTAGGCAGGCATCTCGCTGTTCCCAGCACCATCAGCTGTGTTGCCGCAATTTCCAGCTCTTAATTCAAACCCACGTGGCACCTTCTCAAGGCCCACTAGCAAGAGTCCTTTCTCCCCTTTCCTTCCCACATGGTCTTCGCATTGTTTCCCCCACGGCATGGAGCAAACCATCTCCAAGCTCTCATGCACGTGTGCTGTGACGGGGAGCTGCCTTCATGGCTGCTGCATCTTGCTTTCCTGCTTCCCAAAACCACATGGTCAAAAGCCTCTGGCATGATTGCTGTGCCTAAGTCCCAACCCCCGCAGGAATCCTCCCCCACAACTCCATCTCCCACTCCTCCAGTAGGCGCTGCAGCTGCAACCCGGAATGCTGCCTGCCCAGTTACGTCCTGGGTTAAACTTACACAAACCTTCCTGGTTAGCCTTGTTGATATGCAAAATGACCGTCTTTGCAGATGAGGAATGAAGCTATCCAGCTGTTACTGACATGCAAAATAGCTCGCAAAGGCCCTGCTCCGTGTCTCCCATCCCCTTGGCAGCCCGTGGGGTGGGGTGGTGAGAATATCCTCTATTTTCCTTGGACACCTCAATTTCTGGACCCCATTACAAGTCCCCTTTGGGGAGGCCCTGGCTGTACCCCATTACACAACCTTTGTATTTTTTCCTGCAACTTCTTCCCAATACTCTCCTCCACCTTATTTGAGCACATGTAACTGCTGCGCAACCACTCTAACTCCTCTTGCCTCCTTTTGACTCTCACTGCACTGCACCTCACCAAAGATGAACATCAGTCATGCGCTTTATTACCTAAATATGCTACGTCAATTGCACCTGGGTGCTGCCGTCAATGCCAGCCCACTCAGATAAAACTAAATTGTCTACTTTGGGGATATTCCTAGACTCACAATGTAGTTCAGAAGCCATAGGAGAGATTGATACATGTTTTGTGACTGAAGTCTATATAGTTTGGTATGATGAATGCAACCTTTTTCTGCATGTTTTCAGGCAGGGATGCTGACTTCTACATGTGATGTAATGCTATTGACTAGGGACACACACACGTAATCTTGCAAATCCTTTCAGCCCCACCCTTTACTCCAACCCCCCCGGGGGGCAGCCAGGCCCGCACAGGCCTCCCCCAGGTTCGCTGTGCAGCAGCCCAACAACACTTCGTCTCTAGCCATCCCATGCACTCGTTGCAGTTCCTGAGCTTCTCAAATGCCACGGGGCAGGACCATGCTGGAAGCTTATCATTGCCATGGAAATGTGCAGAGCAATGAATAACCCTAGGATTCCCTTAACCAGCAGGGACAGTGAGCCTACAGATAAATGTTTTTCTCTTTCATCTCCAGGGCAGAGAGTGTTGAGGTTTTCTGAGGTTATTGGAGGCCCGGACACATGTTGCTATTGTAGTGGGAACAGCAGAGACTTTTCTGTCTTCCCTGATCTTCCCACTGATCTTCAATCCCACACCTTCCTAGAGATCTCACCCCAGCTTCTGCTTTCCGGGGAAGCAGGCGAAGGCGTTCTATTAGTCTGCTAGGGCTGCCATAACATAATATCATAGACTGGATGGTTTAAACAACAGAAATTTATTTCTCACAGCTCTAGAGGCTTGAAAGTCCAAGATCAAGGTTTTTGGCAAGGGTTCCTCCTTCTGAGTTGCAAGTGGCCACCTTCTCTCTGTGTCCTCATATGGCCTCTTCTTGGTGCCTATAGGTGGAAAGATTGTTCTTTCTTTTCTTATAAGGCCTCCAGTCCTATCTAGGACCCCATCCTTGCAACCTTATTGAACCTTAATTAAATACGTCTTATCTGCAAATATAATCACACGGGGCGGGGGGGGGGGGTTAGAGTTTCAACATATGAATTGGGGAGGGGGATGGGTGCATAATTTGGTCTATAACAGTGTTACTCAAAAATATTGGCTTGGTCTTGGCCAATAGGCAACTGAGAAAGGCAAGGTTCTCCAAGATCCCACCGTCTTCCCTTATTTTTTTAAAGCTCCCTTTTGCTTTGTTTCTTCTTATGTTTTAATCATGAATGTCAAGGTCCTGTTAGGAAAGGTCTCATGAATATCAAATGTTTTTAGTGTTTTGCTAGTTATTTGAAAGACTACAGTTAGAAGGACTACATTCTCGTCAAGATTTTCCTACTGACTAGTTTAAGGAGCAAATTTTGCTGGATTAAGGAGTAACAGAGCAAATCACTTCGCCTTCTGGACGAGCCTTCTCAGCTATAAAATGGGATAACGGGGTAAGGGGTGTAAAGTAGGATAATCCAGCTATTTTGCTGGGTTGAAGGATCCAAGGAGATGGAACGGGGATTTTATTTTTAAAAGGGAAAAGAACTCAAGAATGGAAGAACCTTGGGGTACTCTGCAGTGAGGAGAGTGGAAACTGTTCTCCAGGGATCCCCACTAGTCCACATTCCAGAGGAGGGGTGTCCCTCCTAACAGGCCGGATCCGCAGAACAGCTTGGTTTACTCCAAGCTGGCTGCTGCCAAATTCGCAATTTACCAGAATCCAGGTGGTTTGTAAATCCAGGTGGAAGTTTGTCAGACTTCCTGTTCCAGAGATCCTCAATTCATTCACCCCCAAGACTGGAAGCAGGAGGAACGTTCACAGGGCAGCCTCACCCCTCCCCTCTCCCCACCCCCAGAGGCAGGAATTTCTGGGATGGGCAGATGGTCCACCCCCTCCTCCTCCTTCTCCAAGCCTGAGCGGGTAGGGCGGCGAAAACCTCGCGGCATTCAGTCTCCCAGCGGGGAGCCCGGAGTGTCCGCCAACGGTGGCCACAGGGGTGACGGATTGAGTCTCGGGGCTCAGGGGTCGCTAGACCCTCGGGAAAGGTGGAGCGCAGAGGGCGCTGAGTTTCCGCCTCCCGTGCAGTAGGTCTCGGCGCCCGCGAGCCCAGTGGTTAGCGATGTTGCTGCTGTTGTCGCTGCTGCTGCTGTTGCTGGGGGCGCCGCAGGGCTGTGCCGAGGGAGAGGCGGCAGCTCTTACTTCCGAGCGCTTCACCGAGTGGCACGGTGAGTGTCCCCGGCCGGAGGGACCAGATGAGCACGTCGGGGCTGGGGTGGCCAAGGGAGTGGAGAAACAGCGAAACTGGGGGGTGGGGGAAGCGATAGCAGCTGGGGCGCCCGATTTTAGATGGTGGCCGCATCTCTGCAGTCCTGAGAAGGCTCTGCATCCCGTTCTCCGAGCCCTGCACCCCGTCCCTCGGCCCTGCATCCTCCAAGCTTCTGCCGCTGGAGCGAGGAGGGGCGGGGCCTGGGCTTGCAGGCAACTCTACTCAACTCTGGCTGCGCAGGAGCCGGGCATAGGGGCTTAGGAGAACTTTCAAAACGTCAGATCCCCAGGATTGTTTATTTGGAGGGAGCATCTCTCGAATATATGATGGCAAAACGGATGTTCTATTTCGTCCTCTCCCAAAGCAAGTGCTTTGGATGTGCGCTGCCACCTGTGGAGTGGCCCAAAATGGGCCTCTCCTCTCCTCCCTTTTCCGGAAAGAAAACTTAATCTTCTCTATTAACGCCTCTCAGACTAGATGGGGGAGGGGCGTTCCTGTAGCCCTGATGAGTTGTGTGAACTGGAGCAAATTACCCTGTTTGCTTCTCAGTTTCTCTCGGTGAGAAAAATGGGGTCTATGATATCCATTGGACCACTGTGGATGAAGTGAGACCCTTTGCAAGGCACGTGGCACCCCAGTGGGCTAGAGTTTGTTTTCAAAGTGTCCCCCTGGCCTTGCAACATACATGTGCACACACAGGGAACAAATTCGAACAGTTGTTGAACACCTGCTATACATAAGATTTGTAAAGAGATGTGTAAATAGACACAAGAGGCTGTCCTGCAGGGGCCCACAGTAATGAATAACTGCACGTGTTGCCTCTGAAGCAGAGAAGACAGCAGCCCAAAGTGGAAATTTAGGTCTGAGGGGAGGCAGGGGGGTGCTCAGCCAACAGGAGGAGCCGCCTGCAGCCTCCATCCTCTCTGCCCTTGGGGACAAGTTTGGAGAGGGAGTAAAGCAAGATGTCATCAATGTCTACCTTCATTTTTTTGCTTCTCAACATGTTATGGATACATTTTTAGGTATCTTTTCTAGACTGTATTCTCTAGCACTCCCAGGAGGCTTTATCAGGGACAGATTGAGCAATTCTAATTCTAAAGTGGCCAACGATTCAGAGCCTCTTACCTCCTTGGTTGTTCAGTAAAAAATGCTCCTGTGAATGCACTTCTGACCCCGTGGTGTGATCCATCTCCACTGAGAGTTTGCTGCACAGTGCTGTTCCTTCCTGTCTTACAATGTGGGCTTTTCCTGAGCATCGCATATTTAGAACGAGGCAGCAGCCACGCATAGGACAGAAACTGAGTCACACAGAGAGAATGTGCTGGTTATCCTCTGAGTAGGGCTAATCCCTTCTACATGTAGCAGACCTAAATGCTGGCCTGAGATAGTTCTAATCAGTGCTTCCTCTTTGGTACTCAAGGATGCTCTCAGTCCAGAACCATCTGCTACCTCCTGTACACTCCAGGTGACAGTTTGCGTATTTGAAGCATTTGACATAGTTGGCACAGAGATTCTTCAGATACGAAAATGCTGCTACTGAGGTTCTAAAGAGCACAGAGATTATGTGGCATTGAATGTACCAATCCTCAAAAAGGCTTCCCTCCTTGACTCCAATCACCCACATCAGTGAAATTTCAAATATAACCTAGCCAGGTTTGAAATCACGTTTTTCTTGTCTACAAAGGTGGATAAACAAAAGTGGAAGGGACCTGACGCAGGCCTCCACTAGCCATCCGTATCTCAGGTGTGGAAGCTGAGGTGTAACTGTGTTTTGGGGTGCCTCAGTTTCCCACTGTGATCAGTGTACCACACTCACTAGCTTTTAGCCATCATTGGCATCCACAGAGTAACCAAGAAAAAATATGCACCTATTTCAGTTTCATATCCACTAATATGTGATATGTAATAATGCAAGGCAGATCGTATGCATGGTATTTTTATCTGAATTGTTTGATATGTATTATTGATTGTTCTGATATGTATTATAAACATCCCAGCCTTGGGAGACAGATAAATGATGGTATTGTGCTGACTTTTCAGTCATTTATCAATTATTTTGTATTCAAAAATCAGTAAATGCAGCATCATATAGTAGTTAACTATATGGGCTCTGGGAGCCAGACTGCCTGGATTCAAATCCTGGCTCTATTGTTTACCAGCTGTGTGACTTTGGGCAAGTTACTTAATCTCTCAGTTTCCTTATATATAAAAATGAACCTAACAACAATACTAACGTGTTGTTCTTTTGTTTCAGTATCACCGTAGTGCCCTCTTTCTCTGGCTGGTTCAGACAATTTTGACAGGTCGACAGCCTGTAACAATTGTTTGCTGCCCTGAGCATAGCACGATACTTGGCATGACAGTGGTTGGTCTTCTTGTCTCTCATCAGCTATTCTAGAGGCCCTCGTTGTGGTTCTGGAATCAGATCCTTTCTTCTAACAAGTGTTAACATGGGATAACTTCATTTACTCAAGTACCCTAGAGACTGGGAGGAGAGTGAGAAAATGAAGAAGCAAGTGGGGCATCCTAGGGAAAGGTGGGCATAGTCTTTGTGGAGGTTGTAAAGAAAATGATTTGGGGGAGGGGGACAAGCAAAGGGATTTTGATGCTATATGGAGGGCTGAAAATTGTATATGTGAAATTGCCCCAGCCAACATAGGAGAGTTTCCTCTTGTAGCGTTCAGCTTCTCAGAGGCCAGAGTGGAGGGAGCCCGTGGCTGTATCAGTTGTTGGCGATGGTCAGGGTAGGGTCTTCTGAATGGCCAGTGACCCATAGGAAGTGAAGAGTTGATGAGCATGAGGTCGAAGTGCTTGACCAGGGGGCCCTATCTGGAGAGAAGAAAGTGAACTGAGTGGAGAAGGTGAAGGTGTCTTTTGATGTTCTGTGCCAATAGGAAGAGGGGCAAGGGGCTGGGAGGCCTCAGTTGTCCATTCAATGTCTGCCAGGCATTATGTGCTTCTTCTCTCCCTTGGTTTAGATCCACCCAAAAGCAATCTCTGAGACATGTATTTTTTTTGGATGCAAGTAATTTATTTGGATGGTGATTCTAGGAAATACAGTAGAGGAATGAGGAAATGAGACAGGGAAGAGATAGGAGAAAGCCATTACAGACAACTGGGGTTCAGTTTCATGGAGATCCTCCTGAGGGACCCACTGAGGGGCAGGAAGCACAGATGTTCTTCCACCACCTCCACCCACCACCGATGGAAGGTCCCTCCTGGGGCACCAATCTCCTGGCACTTGTAGACCACAGTGAGCTCTATCAGTCTGGGAGACACAGAAAGTCAGTGGGAATAAATGAGAACTGTACCAGGTGAGTGAACTCCAGGGTTGCTGGTGAGGGTAGGGAACCAGAAGAACCACCCACTCACGTGCAGACTGGGGAGACAAACATACGAGCAGGATAAGATACTGTTCCCAAGAAGCTGAGCATCATCCAGAGACAGATTCTGAAACACCAACAGTTTCAAAATAGGTGTTATGACAATAAGGAATGAACTGAGTGCTAAAGGGATGTGGAGGAGGGACTAGCTTCAGGGGCTGGAAACTCACAATAGGGCATTTGTTTTCCTGAAGGATAGGTAAGTAGTTGCCACCTGGGAAAAGGGAGCTAGAACATTCCCATGAAAGTAGAGTATGTGCAAAAGTACAGAATCACATGTTGGGCAGCAGAAGTTCAATGGGCTAAAAGTTCTAGTCTGGACTCTTTTGGATGGAGGAAAGTAGGCCCTGAAGGTTACTCAGGCATCTGTGGGGCTAGACACAAGGGTACCAGGATCTCAAGGGGACCCAAGGACAGATTCTCCTGTGCTACTAGGCCTCCTAGAAACCAAGAACAAGCCACTGGAATGGAGTTACTACTTCTTCCCTTTCTCCCTCTCAGGAGCTGCTTGGTGATCCCTGTTGGGTTCTTTTTGGGTGCTGGTTTCTTCTGCTTCAGCTTGCAGGATATTTCATGTGTAGCTCTCATGTCATCCTTGGAAGAGTTCTTTAATTTCCTAGGAGAGGAATCTGGCCTCACTGGTCACAGCAGTCTGGCCAGGCCCTGTGCTCTGCCCTTGAATCAAGGGCCTTCCCATGGCTGGCAGGCCATGGACAAGGTGTGAGATGCACGCAGGGACATTGCCCCAACAGGTTCTGTGAATGAACAGACCCCCCAGAATAAGGCAATGGCAGGACAAGGAGCTATGGCATGTCTCTATTTGGAAGCATGCACAAGATGAGGAATGAAGAGTTTGGTTGGAGGCACTATGCTTAACGGGGAAACAAAATCTGATTGAGTGAATTGGGTGATGCTGCGATGGGTCTTGTGAGTTTGGACAAAGGGGAACCAGGTCACACTTGTAAGTTTAGGACTGCCATGGCCAGTTTGGGCCTTGAAAAGGGTAATTCTGACGGGCAGCAAAGAGACCATCTGGAGGGTTAAGCACTTGTCCATTAAGAAAGACGCTGATGACCTAAGCTAAAAAATCAGTCCCGGTAGGAATACTGAGGAGCAGAAAGTTTGGATTCAGAAATATGAAGTAAAGAGGAAGAAAAAAATATAATAGATTCCGTGAATGGAGATGGGAGGAATGGCAGGATTAGAGGAGTAGATCATGTTGAATACAATGGAAATGAGCTTGGGAGGGGGACCTGTGCTCAGCAGTGACCAGCTCCGAGGTGTGGTTGTAGGAGTGGTCACTAAAACGGAGAACAGGTGAAGGAGGCTCCTTGGAGCAGAGGAGGTTGAGGAGCCAAGCATGCACGGCTGTACAGACATACAGGTCTAAACAGGGTTTTGTCAAAAAATATCTTTACTTAATATGATGTGCTGCTACCTTTCTACTCTCTTCCATTCTATTTTGTTTTGTAATGTTCGTCATTAAATTGATCTCATGACCCATTCAGTGGGCCACAACCTGCGGCGGAGGAAACACCGGGACAGAGTGTTTGGTCATCTGTGTGTAAGTTAAAGG